CCCCCCCCGGGTTTTTTTTGTGTGTGTGTATGTGTGAATTTATTTATTTATTTTTAGCTCCCACCAATAAGTGAGAACATGTGGTATTTCTCTTCCTGATTTTTTTTTTGAATTATCTATCTGTATTGTTTCCTGGTGAGTTTTCTTAAGATCATTTTTTTTTATTCCTCTTCCAGAAGTTTGTTAATTTCCTTTTCATTGGGGAATCTGTCACTGGCTTGTCATTTTATTCCTTTGTTGGTGTCATATTTTCTTGCTTTTTCATGTTTCTTGTGACCCTTCATTGATGTCTGTGCATCTGTTGGAGCAATTGCCTCCTCCATACTTTACAGTGTGGCTTTCATAGATAGAGTCTTTCACCTGCAGTTGGGTCTTAGTATGTTGATTTGGAAGGTTGTGGTGATTCTTGTTTCTCATAGATTCAGTGGTTCAGTCTCTGGGTGGGTTCTTCAACTGTGATCTGTCAGCCTCAGTACCCTAGGCTGGTGGTGCCTTAGTGCCATAGACTGTAGAAGTTTGTGGCTGTGGCAGCAATGGTGTACATTGTGAAGGTGTTCAGTGACAAGGGCTTTTGAGGTCCTTCTATTTTTGTTTTCCCCACATGGGGCAACATTGCTGAGGGGAGTCTTCCTGATGTTGGTTCTGACCCAACCTAAAAGCAACTGTAGTGGTGCTGGATTCCAGGTACAGGTGCTTAGAGTAACTGTGGAACTGGGATCTTGGGTTCGGTGTCTCGTGAACCTATTTTGGCACCTAAGTCTTGGAATATAGGTACATTCTCTGTGGCAGGGTTGGATGTAGACTGCCCACAGAGAAGATCTGTGACTCTGAGGTACCCCCTGACTACTCAAGCTCATTGAGCTTGGCTGTAGTTGTGACTCTGACCCTGGGGTCAATACACAGCACTGGCTTGATTCTGGGAAGAAGTGGTACTCTAGAGGTTTGGGCCTAGGGAGTAGAGTATGCGTGCAATTTGGGAGACCAGAGCAAATGGTGCTCAGTTGTCACTCAGTTTCCATGTTGGTTAGGCACTGTGTAGTGGTGACTCTAGGCCCTGGACTAGGCCCTGTGACTCTGAGATGTCTCAGTCTCTGTGAGGCCAGGTACAGCGGCAGTAAAGGACCCAGTAAAGGGGCACAGCTGTTGTTTGGGCCTTTGAGGGCAAGGAGCAGTACAGTGCTGCCTCCACTCCTTGGTAAAAGGGGTATCTCAGCAGCTCAGTTTCTGAGGGAATAGTCTAGCTCCTTGAAAGCAGGGTACTAAAGTTGTTCAGCCTGTGTGGCAGGGTTTCTCACCTCAGCCACTGCTGTTTTCCTGGGAAATGGGTTAGTATGTCAGCTCAACCCTGGGATGCACACCTGCTTAGTTTGGCCAAGCAGCTTCTCAGCCAAGACAGCAAATCCCCGGAGGGGATGCACAACTTCATGTCAGTCCAGGGGTCCATGGGGAACAGCCAAGACTGAGAGAGAGGTGGTTAAAGATTCCTCTAAAGGGAGTGTGCAGTTTCTTAGCTTCAGCTCTGGTCTGAGGCAGAAGGGCACAGTTGCAACTTGGAGAGGTGCATGGAGCAGCACAATTACTATTTAGCCTCTCAGGACAGGGTATAACAGCCACTCTCAGCTCAGGTTGGGGAAGTTGAGCTACTTAGCCTCTGGGATAAGAGGGTATCATTCCACCACCACGTAAAACACCCTCTGGTTGTTCTTGTTCCAAGATGGCATAGCACAGTAGCTGTGGGGACCATAGAGGACAGGGCACAGTGTTAGCTCCTTTAGGGGAGCACAGCTGTGTGAACTTCAGGCAGCTCCCTCTGCTGGGCTTAGTGTCTGTGAGGACTGCCGGGGTCTGCAGTGGTAAGGATGGTAGGTGTATTAACCCACTTCTATTGCTTATAACAGAATACCTGAAGCTGGGTAATTTGTAAGAAAACAAAATTTATTTCTTACAGTTCAGAGGCTGGGAAGTTCACAATCCAAGAGGTGCATCTGACAAGGGCTTTCTTCTTAGTGGATCTCTTTACAGAGTCCCGTGGTGACCAGGGTATCACACGGTGAGAATGGGCTGAGCAAGAGTGAGTAAATCTTCTCACTTGCTCTCCTTACAAAGCCATCAGAACCATTACCATGACCACTCATTAAACCATCAACTCATTATTTCATGAATGGATCAATCCATTCACTAGAGCATGGTCCTTGGAACCGAACCAATCACCTCTTAAAGGCCCCATCTTTCAAATACCATAATTGAATTTCCCGCCCTCTTAACACTGTTATAGTGGAGATCAAGTTTCCAATATATGAACTTTTGGCAGACATGCTTGACCCATAGCAGTAGGGTATTATGAGAGAAGATAGGGTCCTCTCACTTACCTTTCTCCTGCAGGGAGAAGTTCATCCTAGCTCCCTAATTTGTCCAGAGTTCTTCAGTGATACTCCTACCTGGAATTAGTTTGGAATTAGTTTTTCCTCCTTTGATTACTTATACCTCTGTCTCTGTCTCTGTCTCTCTCTCTCTCTTTCTCTGTGTGTCTCTCTCTCTCGGTGTAATTCTTTAACTTTGATGATGTATATATATACACGTTTTTTGACCCCAATTTAGATCATTCTCTAAATATATTTTTGACTGACCTCTTCACTTTTTTTCAATGCTAATTAAAAAGGCTTTCTCTTAATAGATGCTTGAGAGGCATTTAAAAATATTTTTGCCAACTTCCTATGAGTAATATTGTATAATATGTTAATTTCCCTGTGTTAGGTTCCAGTGATGCTGCTGCTGAAGAGCTTTTAGCTCAAGTACGAGATGCAAAGATCCAAAACCTACCAGACACTAAAGCCATTAAACAGGAAGAGGAGATCCACAGTGAGAGGATAGGTCCTAAGGAAGCCTGGCCAGAAGATAAAGAATCCTTACAGATAGATATTGAAGGTAACGGGATTTGTTGGTGGCAGGGAGGAGGTGTTTGTGTCTGTGTGCTTCCATTTTATTAAACAAAGATTTCCTTTTTTTTTTTTTACTTTCTTTCTTTCTTTTTTTTTTTTTTTTTTTTTTTTGTCTTTTTTCCGTGTCCGGCAACGGATCGCAACCCTCAGTGTTGCCCCTGTACCGGACCGGGGACCGGCAACGGGATCGCAACCCTCGGCGTTGCTCCCGCGCCTCGCTCAGCCAGTGAGCGGGAACCGGTCTGTATGTGGGATCCGAACCCTCGGGCGGGAGCGCCACCACGCTTCCCAAGCGGCGCACTATCCAGTGCGCCACCGGGCCGGCCCCTTTTTTACTTTCTTATAAAAATTACTTTAGTGCTACTTTTTCTATAGGGAAATATTGATTTAAAAGTCGTTATTTCTGGGAAAACAATATTAGCAAATTAGAAACAAGATAACAAATAAACACCTAAAGCTTATAGTATTAGAAGTGAAGCATCATGTCTCAATAATGAAATAGGTAAAACCTAAAACCTAAGGCATTCCAGAAGACTATGACAAAGACACTGAGAGAATCAGTAACAAACTTAGAAAATTACTGTAAAAAAGAACCAAAATTAAACTATTTAAGTTTGTCTATGGTCCCCTTTTTTCTGACATAAAAGAAAAGCATGTAGAACACAAGCCGTTACTACCTACCTGATCTTTACTTATTAGAGGAAGATAGAACAGTACCCACATAAGGAGAAAAATGAGTCAAGGAGCTAATCTCTCCATTCTGTATTTTGAAAATAATCCAGGTTCAACTGTTCAAATCAAAAATATATAAAATAAATGATTTTTGACAACAGAACCAAGACCACTCAATAGGGAAGATAGTCTTTTTAAGAAATGATGTTGGGAAAACTAGATATACACATACAAAAGAACGGATTTGGACCCTTTCTTTACACCATATACAAAAATTAACTCAAAATGAAACAAAGATGTAAAAGCAAGACCTAAAACCACAAAACTCTTAGAAGAAAACATAGGGGGAAAGTTTTAGGACATTGAACTTGGCAATGATTTCTCAGATATGACACCACAAGCATAGTCAGCAAAAGCAAAAATAGACAAATGAGACTACATAAGACTTAAAAACTTCTGCTTGTTCAAAGGAAAGGGCTGAACCCATGGCGCACTCGGGAGAGTGCGGCGCTGGGAGCGCAGCAGTGCTCCCGCCGTGGGTTCGGATCCTATATAGGGATGACCGGTGCGCTCACAGCGCTCACTGGCTGAGCGCGGTGCGGCCGGTCTCAAAAAGGACAAAAAAAACCCCAAAAAACAAAGGAAACAAGAATGTGAATAGGTAACCCAAAATGGGAGAAAATATTTACAAATTATATATCTAGGGAGTTAATATTCCAAAATATATAAGGGACTTCTACAACTTGATAACAAAAAACCAAATATGATTTTTAAAATGGGCAAAGGACTTGAATCACCAACAAATGTATGGAAAGATGCTCAACATGTCTAATCATAAGAGAAATGCGAATTAAAATCATGAGATATCACCTCACAGGTATTATGATGGCCACTATCAAAAGAACAGAAAATAAGCACTGGGAAGCATGCAGAGGAATTGGAACTCTTGTGCACTGTTGTAGGAATGTAAAATATTTGCAGCCATTATGAAAACAAGTATAGAGGTTCCTTTAAAAATGAGAAAGGAGTTACCATATGATACAGCAATCCCACTTTTGGGTATATATCCAGAAGAATTCTTTTTTTTTTTTTCCTTTTTTTTTGTCTTTTTTCGTGTCCGGCAACGGATCGCAACCCTCAGTGTCACGCCCGTACCAGACCGGGACCGACAACGGGATCGCAACCCTCGGTGTCGTGCCCGCACCTCGCTCAGCCAGTGAGCGGGATCCGGTCTGCATGTGGGATCCAAACCCTCGGCGGGAGCGCCGCCGTGCTCCCAAGCGGCGCACTGTAGCAGTGCGCCACCGGGCCGGCCCCAGAAGAATTCTTTTGATGTCAGCACATCTATGTTTATAGCAGCATTATTCACAATAGCCAAGAGGTAAAAGCAATCCAGATGTCCATCAAGAGATGAATGTATTAAAAAAATGTGAATTTTTACTTGTCAATTAAAAACAAAATAAAATGTTATACACATACGATGGGATATTATGCATCCTTAAAAATGTAGGAAATCCTATCACATGCTACAACAGGGATGAATCTCAAGGACATTATACTAAGCAAAATAAGTCAGAAAAGAGTGTATCTACTGTAGTCACGATCATAGGAACACAAAGTAGAAAGGTGGTTGCAAAGGCCTGGGGGCAGGGTAGATAGAGAATTAGTGTTTAGTGGGTATAGAGTGTTAGTGGCACAAGATGAAACAGAGATCTGTTGCACAACAATATGAATATACTTAACACTACTGAAGCATACTCTTAAAACTCATTAAAATGGTAAATTTTATATCATGGGTTTTTTTGTTTTATTTATTTTTTACCGCACACACAAAAAGATTGTGTAAGAGAAAGAAACAACATTATGACTCCACAATGTGTAGTGTGGGAGACATAGCTTGCAAAAGAAAGATGGAAATATAATCTGTAAAAGCATACTCTAAAAGACAGAAGAAAATTTTTCTTAAACATTTTATACCCTGAATAATTTTAGAAGACATGAAATGTATGAAATAAAAGTTTATATAATAATGAGATGAAAAGGGAGACTTAGGGGAAGTTATGAGTTGAAGTGAAAAAGTTGTACCAATTAAGAGAAAGATGAAAGCAGTTAGAGAAAATAATGGAATTTGAGGCCTGACAGGGAAAAGCAACACAATGCTATTTGTTGCTGTCTCTAAAGAACATAACAGAAAAAATAATAAATAGGGAAGGAAGAATTGAACCTGCAATATAAAAGGACTTATCAAGTCTTAGGAAAAGTTTGTATTTAATGATCAATCCTGAGACATGTGTTGGTAATAGTACTAAACTTTAAAGAAAAAGAATCATACAGGCATTCATGTAGAAAAAGAAGAAAAAGCAAAAAGACAGGAAGAAAATTAGGGCAGAGCAAGATGGCTGACTGTAGTTGTATGGTGCTCATCCCTCCTCCCAAAAAGAGACCAAAAGAACAAACAATTATATTTTGACTAGAGTGACAGAAGAATTACAGTGCAGAGCACCAGAGGAGTGACAAAATCCCTGTGGAGCATGGAAGACCAGAAGGGCACCCTAGAGAGCAGAGTGAGGCATCCTTTCTCTACTACACTGTCTCCCTGCAGGGACCAGCTTAGAGTCAGGTGGGACTTCTCCTTACAGAGATAAGATAAGTTGGGAAACCCCAGCTATTTCCACTGCTGCCAAGAATGCCAGCAATCCTTGCCACTAGAAAGTCCCTCAGTTCTCACAGGCCCCAAACCCACTTTGAAGAGTAGCTAGGAGTTTGTATAGTTTGTATAGTTTCTACACTGCCTTATTGTAGAAGCCCAGGTAGAGCACCCTCCATCTGACTGATCTAAGCAGCTATGTCACAGTGCCATCTTGAAACTGAACCCACTGCTAGAGTTCATCCTACCCTGGGGGAACATGGAAACTGAGTCTCTCCATTGCTAAGGCAACACCTTCTGTCTAGCATATTCACACGGGCACCTGAAGGACCATGACCCCAGCTGCCTGGAGCCTGGGCCAGACAGAACAACTGAGACCCCAGAGTCTGAGCCTACACAACCCCGTACCCCCACCCAATATAACAGGCAGAACTGCTCAGTGGGGAAGCTGCCAATCTAAGGCTGGTCTGCCACATTTACGTGTACCTACCTTGCACAACCTGCAGACCTGCTAAGCCTGTAGATGCCTGGGCTGGCTCGACAGTCAGTTCAGCAGTAGTTCTGCCCCACCCCCGCAGGTCCCTGCCACAAAGCTGCTGACTCTTGCTGCACGCAAGCATGCCTGGACAGCAGATTGTGTAGTGGCTGTCTCCCCCTGACCGATCTTCACAGAGCTGCCCAGCCCTGCTGCATTTGTACATGCTTGCTCCAGGCTCAACACCTGATCTGTTGGTCCTCCACAGAGCTGCCAGACCCTGCTGCACCCATGCATGCCTGCACCCTTTTCAACAGCCGATCGGACAGAGGCTCTGCCTCCCTCAGCAGCCCTCCACAGAGCTGCCATGCCTTATTTCACCCATGCATTCCTGCATCCTGCTTGACAGCAGATTGAGCAGTGGCTTTGACTTCTCCAGGAGTCCTTCATAGAGTCTCCTGGTGTCACTGTGTCCCTGCACACCAGCTCCTGGCCAGGCAGCTGCTTCACCTCCCTGACAGGCCTTCACAGAGCTGTTTGACTCCCCCCACCTTTTGCACATGCTCACATGCTTCCAGCACAGAAGCTGGTCTGGTAGTGCACCACCCCCTGGGAGAATCAATCTCAGAGCTGCAAACCCACACCTGGCCTGACAGCTGGTTAGACAGCAACCCAGCATCTCAGAAAGATGCAGCCTCTTGGCCCTCTGCACTTGCATGTGCCTAACCCAACAACCACTTCGGAGTTTCACCAGAAAAATAGTGCCACTACTATTATAAACTTCCACAGTCCTGGCTTCTGAGGCATTTGCAGACACTGCTGAAGAGGATTACAACTGAAGAAACTGCACAGAGACTATGCTACTGAGTCTACCAAAAACCAAAGCCAACACCATATCCAACACACACCCTAGGACTCACCTATAGGAAAAACTAATTTCTGTGTCATCTATTCCATAAAACTGGGAAAAGCAGCTACTCCATTAGATGCACATATATCAACATAGGATCACAAGAAACATGAGAAAGCAAGGAAATGTGGTGCTCCCAAATGGTACAAAATAAGTCTCCAGTAATAAATGCCAAAGAAAAGCACAGTTATGAAATGCCTGCAAAGGAATTTTGAATAACCATCTTCAGGAAACTCAACAAGATACAGGAGAACACAGATAAATAATTCAGTAAAATCTGGA